GATAGAGTTGCATTTTTAAAATCTGCAAAAATTACAAAATTTTAATTTGATTTCTAAGCTCACTTTTTTCATTATTTTGTGTTACATATTGTTGCACAATTTAATTTTAAATTAATATGTAGGTGAAGAAACATTACAGAATCAAAGTTTATAGTAATTTTATATATTTTTTTATAATTTTATATATATATAAATTTACATGTGACAAATTGTATGACTGATATTGAAGTGGCTATTTTCTAAATATTAAAGTATATATGATTTTGCCAATATTTTGTACAATTTAAAAGTTTGTAAAAATTTGTTTATTTGATATATCTTTAATATTGTCAATTTTTTAATATTTACTTTTTTACTTTTGTTAGATTGTAGTTTAAATAATAAACAATAGTTTATACACCTTATCTAACAATCTAAATCAGAAATATATTAGCTGTAATTTAAGACATATATTATTTTTATTTTTTTTTTAAATATTAAAGGTGAGACTATGCTCTTATCTTTATTAAACTTAATGAAAACTTTTTATATAATTGTAAGACATATATTATAATATATATAAAATATATATTTATAATATAAAAACTTCTATTTCTAACTTTAACAAAACTCTAAACTCTAATTTAACAAAAATCTAAACTCTTATTTTAAAGTTAATTTAGACTGAAATAGAAATCATAATTATTTATTATTTCTGACTTTTTAAATAAAAAGGCTATAACTTTAAAATTTTTATTATAAATAGTATTAAATAAATTAAGCTTAGTTGCAAATTTTTATATCTTTTAATTACTATAACAAAAGTTAGATAGAGTTTAAATTTTAGCTATTTTAGATATTAAAAACTAATTAAATTTAATTAAAAATTTATAAAAAATTAAAATTAAACCTAAAAGCTTTAAGAATCAACATGATTAAACTTCAAGTATTTTTATAGTATTGACAAAAAATTTAATTTAATTTGATAGAATAGTTACTAAGGAATTAAATTTTAAAGTAATTTTACTATTTTGAAATTATATGTACTGTATGTCTAAGGTATTTACTTAGTAATTTTAAAATTTTTATTAAAAATTTTAAAATAAATTTAAAAACTAATTTTTCAATAACTGTCTCGTTAAATTTATCTAATTTTTTTTTGAAAAATAAAAATGGTTAAATTTAATTTTTAATATTTTTGGATTTAATTTCATATTTTATTGATTTTTAATTAAATTCAATTAATTTTAATTTTAGTAACAAACTTTATTAAAATTTTAGCTCTTATTTAACTTTTGTTGTAGTAATTAAAAAAGTATAAAATTTGTCACTAATCTATATTTCTTTAATATTATTTATAGTAAAAATTCTAAAGTTAAATCTTTTTTATTTAAAAAGTTAGAGATATAGGATATTTATAATTCATACTGTAGTTAATCTTTATAATTTTGGCAAAAATATTTTAAAATTATAAATTTTGCATAACTAAAGATTTTTTAATATTAGTTAGATATAGATATTATAATATATAGGCATTATTTTATACTGACTCATTACTATAGCAACTCTGTGATCAACAAATCAAGATTGATCACGTGTATAAAATTTTTTTATAAAGTTTTTTTTTTATTAGGTTTTTTTATTAAGTTTTTTTATTTATAATTTTTATTAAGTTTTTTATTTATTAATAATTTTTTTTACAGTAGTAGGATGAAACGACAACAAAAAAGCAAAAGAAAATAGACCAAAAATAGCAAGAAACAAAATGAATAAAGTGGAAGAAAATAGACGAAAATAGGACAAAAACAGCAAAAACAGCAAAAAAATAAAGCAGAAGATAAAAATAACAAATTAATGCACTTATATTAAAAACTCATGAAGAGCTTACTAAAAAACGAAGAAGAATCCATCAAAAATTAATGAAAGAACTCACAATAAACTTACCAAAAATTCACCTAAAACTGATGAAAAACTTGCTGAAGAACTAGCCAAAAAATGGCAAAAGAACCTGCCAAAAACAACAAACTTGCTAAAGAACCTACCAAAAAGACAAGCAAAATTTACTAGAAGATCTATATAAATGCAAAGAATCTAAGAAATAGAATATGCAAAAACACACCAAAATATGAAGAACTTAAAGAAAAAAAAAATCTACTAAACTACTAAAAAATTCATCAAAAATGACAAAAAACTTGCCAAAGAACTAGCCAAAAAATGGCATCAAAAATGACAAACTTGCTAAAGAACCAACTAAAAAATGATGAGCAAAATTTACTAGGAGGTCTACATAAATATGAAGAATTTAAGAAACAGAATACGCAAAGACACCAAAATATGAAAAACTTAAAGAAAAAAAAATCTACAAAACTACCAAAAAAATCACCAAAAATGACAAAAAAACTTGCTAAAGAACCAGCCAAAAAATGGTGCCAAAAACAACAAACTTGCTAAAGAACTCACTAAAAAGCAATGAGCAAAACTTAACTGAAAGATCTATATAAATGCGAAGAATTTAAAAAATGGAATACATGAAGATACACCAAAATATAAAGAACTTAAAAGGAAAAAAAAACCTACAGAACTACCAAAAGAATAAGAAATCCACAACCCAAACACAGCTTCATGACAGCTTCAAGCTTCAACAATGGCCCAAAGATGGTTCTAACAACTTCTCCAACAACTGCTCCAACAACGATAACTTCAATGACAATTTTGTTAACAGTTTTAACAATGGCTCCAATGATGGCTCTAATGACAATTTCATTAAGGCACTAGCAATGATAACAAAAAAAAATATATTAATATTAGTAAAAAAACAAAAAAAAATAATAAAATTAAAAAAAAACAAAAAAAAAGATCATCTATATGATTGCTAATCTAAAAAATGATTGGTCGATTATATAGAGATCATATAACGAATGAGTTGCTATTTTATTTTTGCCATAATATATTATCAATTATGATACAGTTATTTTTTTTTTATTTCTTCAGTAAGTCTTGCCATGACTTTGGTCCCAGCTATTATATAGTTGACTCTAGTATGCATGCTACTTAGTGTCACAGGATCTCCATAACTCAATACAGGCATTATGTAAGGGAGGGTGACAAAATTTTTTCCCCACTCAAAAAAATTTTTTTAAAAATCAACCATTAATTAAAATTAAATAAATTTGAAAGCTTAAAGATTTCTCTACTTAATAAAATTTTTAAAAATTTATTATTACTATTATTATTAATCATTTTTTGATTTTTAAAATTACTCTATTTTAAAACTTAAATCCCACAATTTTGAGTATAATAATTATATTATTTTTTTATTGTAGATATATTTACAGTATCTTTAAAGTATTATGTTATAAGTTTTATTATTTAACTATTTATAGAATTAAAATTATTAATAAAAGAAAAATATTTATGTATTTTAAAAAATCAATTATATCTTAAAATTTTATTAATATAATTAACTTTATTATATAATTAAGCTATATTTTTTAAACAATTTTACATTATATAAGTTAGTTAAATCAATAATAAATTCTAATAACAAATTTTAATAATTATTTTAAATAGCATTTAACAAAATATCAAATAACTTATTAACCAATTATCCAAAATTAACGATTTTGGCATCATTCAAATCGTCTCGCCGAGACGAATTAAATGATACCAAAATTATTAAATTCTAATTACTAGTTATGAAGATAATTAAGATTTTATAAAAATTATAAATATATTAATATTTTGAAAACTAGCAATTGAATTTTGATAATTTTGGTACTATTTGATTTGTCTCAGTTAGACGATTCGAATGGTACCAAAATTATCAAGATTGAATCACTAGATCAAGAAATATTTGCAAAAAACTAATTTTTATATAATTTAATATTAAATATTGAATTATATAAAAATAGTTTTTTGCAAATATTTTGTGAACTAGTAATTCAATTTTGATAATTTTGGTACTATTTGAATAGTCTAATTGAGACAAATCGAATAGTACCAAAATTATTAAAATTTAATTGCTAGTTTTCAAGATATTAATATATTTATAATTTTTAT